GCATGGGGATGGCACTGCTTTAGACCCCGTGTGGTAAGGCCCATAATCAGGGCCCACACTTTGCCCATCAGTTTTAAGCAGCATGTCATGTCATGTCGTTATGTTATTTATATTTATGTTATTTATATTCCACCTTTCTCCCAAGGCAGCTTACAAATGCTAAAATAATAAAAAATTAAAAGTCTGATAACAGAAAAGGGAAAACACCATTAGCCAAGTTATCGTATTAAAATGCCATTAAATTTTAAAAGGTGTAAAATCATTTAAGACGTAGCAATAAAGTTAAAAATACAGCATGTACAGCCCAAAACATAATGCCCTGCAACCAATTAAGCATGAAATGTCTGTTTGAATAGAAAGGTCTTTGACTTAGGCAGAGGGATAGATTAGCTTCCCATGGAAGGGAATTCCACAAGCTGGAAGCAACTGCTAAGAAGGCTGTCTCCTGTGTTCTCACCAGACAAGCCTGTGATGGTGGTGGGACTGAGAGAAAGCCTTATGGTGGAGTCTTGATATTTAAACTTTTAAAAGGTAAAGGTAGTCTCTTGACATGATTGTCTAGTCGTAACCAGCTGTAAGGGGCGGTGCTCATCTCCATTACTAAGCCAAAGAGCCAGCGTTGCCCGAGGACTGCTCTGGTGGTCATGTGGCCAGCATGACTGCACCGAACGCTGTTACTTTCCCACCAAAGTGGTACCTATTTATCTACTTGCATTTGCATGCTTTCGAACTGCTAGGTTGGCAGAAGTTGGGACTAGTGACAAGAGCTCACTTCATCATGCCACACACGGGCCTCAAACTTCCAACCTTACCATCTTACAATCATCAGAACTGAGGTCTTAACCACTAAGCCACCACATCCCCTATTTAACCTTTTACCTATACTAAAATTAACTGGGGGAGGGAATCCTAAAACAAATATTTAAAGTATGATCCTATAGTTCCAGCCCAGTGTCCCAAAGACCACAGAACAGACTTCCCAGGTTAGAAGCAGAACTACCTGAGTTAAAAAAGAAGAAAAGGCCACTGTACCCCTGTCCCCACTTCTCAGGAGCAAGTGTGGCATGGTGGTTTGAGTGCTGGACTGTAACTCTGGAGACCAGGGTTTAATTCCCTGCTCTGCTCTTCTAGACAAATCTGGCCAAGAAAACCCCATGATAGGTTCACCTTAAGGTTGCCATAAGACAGAAACAACTTGAAGACACATAACAGAACCTTGGGTTCAGTGCTGAACTGGCTGGACGTTGTCTGGACAATCTGCACTAGAACTGGGGGTTAGGCCCTGCATCATCTGGATTTCTCACCATGAAGACAGGGGCAGGATATTTTATTTGGCCCATGTGGAAAATTTTCATTATTTAGCAGAACTCCATTAAAACATGTTCTGTGTAAGGCTGCTGTTTTTATTCTTAATAGTTTCCTTGACCATCCCTTCTGATTCTCAAGCACAGCTCCTTCCGTTCTTCTTTTTCATTCAGACTGAGAATGAGTAAGACTGAAAAGCTTTATCAATGGATATTAAACCTCACCAGCTTTTACGCATCTGCTTTAAGAGTAGCATTGTCACCAACAATTCACCAGAGAAAGAAACATTTCTTAATATCATCAGAAGGCAAGCTACTACTATTTAATTTGGAATGAGCAAGGCGAGAGGGTGATACCAAAATCCAAATGACAAATGATGTCCAAGTACAAAGACAGTTTAATGAAAATAAGCAACAAAAGGCAAAGGCATGAAACAGGCTCATAGAAATTAACATACACTTCCTAACTGGGGGATCAGACTATATAGGTTTTCTTGGTTCCCTGATAAACAAGAAATATGCATGTAATTTTTTTTAAACTGCTTAATTTATCTTTGGAAGTGCATCTTGACCATTCAATTTATTGCCAAGTTTTTTTTTTGGTGCTGCCAATGGTGCCATAAACAAACTACAAATCCCAGCATTCTATACCATTGATCCATGGCTGTTAAAGTGTGTCAAACTGCATTATTTCTGCAGTGCAGATAAAGTCATAACTGTCAGAACCTTCCTCAACACACTCTCTCTCTCTCTCTCTCTCTCTGTGTATTCTGGCAGTTGTCATCCAAAAAACAGCAATTTCTCTAAGCTTATTGCATGGGGTAAAAAAGTCGGAGCACCTTTTCTGGCTTCAATTCTATTCCGGGATCCAGCTGGGAAATATCATAAGTAAATCACTGAATCTGCTGGCTGAATGTAAACCGTGGCTCCAAGCCATGCTCAGCCGGCCAATTTTTGAAGTCGGAAGCTTCCGTTTTCGAAAATTGGCTGGCTGAGCATGGCTTGGAGCCGCGGTTTACCTGGGCTGTATTTGACTGGTGGATTCAGCAGCGATTTACATATGATAGTATCCGGCTGCATCGCAGAAGAGAATTGTAGCCAGAAAAGGTAAGCCGGCTTTTTTATTTCATGCAATAAGCTCCTAAATTGTGAACAGGATCCTCAGTACTGACATATTTTAAACCATACTTTAAAACATTTCTGTCCTGTCTTTTGTGAGATTTCAGGATGATGTACAATATAAATCATGAACTAAAAATCCAGTATGGAACAGCATCAGCATCCTTTCATGGATGAAGCCCCCCTCTGTTGAATTTATTTCTGCTTTTCTCATCTATGACTAGTCTCTGTTCACTGCCTGTTTCCTCTGCTTTCAGCCATGTTCACATCTCCATGCTGCTTTTCTGTTGTTAAAAAATAAAATAAAACAATCACCATCCCATGCCTTTTCTAGCTAACTGCTGTTTTTCTGTTGATGATCACCCTTCCTCTAAATTCCTTCAGCAAATGTCCCTGGCTTGCTGCCTTTACTGCATGTCCTCTAACTCAGAATCCAGATTCCACATCAAGGTGACCCAATTTTGTATCAAGGAGAAAAAAAACACCGCTGTTTAGAAAAAAAGAGACAGAAGTAATTCAACAAATGTGCCTTTTTATACTATATTTATATGGTTTGGAGCACAATTCATTTCTGGAAGAAGAAGAAGAAGAAGAAGAAGAAGAAGAAGAAGAAGAAGAAGAAGAAGAAGAAGAAGAAAGAAAGAAAGAAAGAAAGAAAGAAAGAAAGAAAGAAAGAAAGACATGCATTGCACCCAAAAGGTTGAGTTTCAAAACATTACTGTTTTGGGACCACAACTCCCAAAACAGTAATGTTTTGAAGAATCTGGGAGTTGTAATCCAAAGAAGTAAATTTTTTGCAAAGGGCCATTCCTAACACTGGAAGGCAGCCCAGCATCTTTTCCCTTCTTCTGAGAAATTAAGAAATTATTATTTCCAGATGTATTGCCTGGAGAGTTACTTAATTCATTATAGGTAACTCTGGAAGTAGCCAAGGAGTACCCGAAGCTGCTATATTGCTGCAGGGGCATGAGACTATTTCACATTATACAATTGTAGTGCTATAGGTGCATTTACATTGTAGAAATAATGCAGTTTGTTACCATTCTAACTGCCATGGCTCCATCCTACAGAATCCTGCAATGTATAGTTTTGTGAGGCACAAACACTCTTTGGCAGAGAAGGCTAAAGAGCTTGTAAAACTACAAATCCCAGGATCCTATAAGATGGACCTATAGCACTTAAAGTGGTGTCACATTGCAATATTTCGACATTGTAGATGCACCCTACTTTAAATGCCATGGTTACATCCTATGAAACCCTGAGATTTGGATTGTTGGGAGAGCTACTTAGAATTCATGGCCAGGGAGCTCTAGTAGCTCATCAAACTACAGCTCCCAGGACTCCCTAGCCATGGCTTTAAAGTAGATCCACAGTTAGTGTGAAAGGACTCATGATCAGTGTGTAAGTTGGATTTAGACACTGCTGACAAAAGGTCAGTTTTACAAGCCTCATTTATTTACCAGTGTATGTTTCATAAGGGATCTTTCTCAGAAGGCCACCTCAGAAGTCATTGTGTTTGATGTCCAGAACTAGCATAGGGAACGCATAGCTCTACATATGTTGTTTTATGTATCACCCCAGTTTTACTGAATGGAACTGGCATCCAACTCTATCTGGAGGGCCACAGGTTTCCTACCTAGGTTTTAGCAAATCTCTTGCATGGCCATCCTGGGCTACGAAGTTTCCCACTGTTGTCATACAAGAGACAGTGTGGCATTGTGCGAGCGTGCTATATGAGGAATTCGAGGTTCACCTTAATCATGATGTGTTATTACTGCTTGGGCTAGTCACAACCTCCCAACCTAACATATCTGTCAAGCTAAAGTGTGCGTTTGTGTGAAAAGAGAGTAATACACACGTGTAGGGGATTCTATAAGCATCTTGAACAAATAAAATGAACAAATGAGCACAAGATGATGCAGCAAAAGAGTATTATTGCAAAACTGGACAAGGCCTAGTCAGGGGTGTCCCTATGGGTATATATGGCACCTGGTGACACTTCAGAAGGGGATGTCACTTGGTGCACTTGTGGGACTGGACTGCCTTCTAGGTTGGTGATTCTGCTGGCCAGGTAGTAGTCTCTTCCATTGCTGAGTCACTCTCACAGTCAAGATTTTCCTTCTACTGTTCAACTGAAATATGGTGGTTGTTTGCCTTCAAGTCATTTCTAACTTCTCATGGGGTTTTCTTGCCAAGTTTCTTCAGAGGGGGTTTGCCATTGCCATCCTTTGAGTGTGTGACTTATCCAAAGTCAACCAGTGGATTTCCATGGCTGTGTGGGGAGTTGAACCGCGTGATCTCCAGAGTCATAATCCAATGCCCAAACCACTACACCATGCAGGCCTAGGTGGAAATGGCACCCAGGTAAAATTGAAATCTATCCTTCTGTAACTTAAAATCATTGGACTTATTTCTAGTTTCTAAGGCAGCAAAGAACAAGCTTTCATACTCTTCTCTGTGTTAGACATTGAGGTATTAAATGAGTGTGATCAGAGATTATCGCATCAGGTTTAAAAGTGGCTTACCTGAGTCATCTTAAAGTTAGAAATAGGTGGCATCCTGATACTATCACACATTTAGCTGTTGAAATTGCCGCCTGGATGCAACCTGGCTCCATTGCCACTCCAAGGGATGCTGCAGCGGCCATTTTTTCAGGCCAGAAAACTCCTGGCTTTGAAAAGTGGTGCAAGGAGCACCCCTTGGAGCAGTGATGGAATCGGGATGCAACCGGATGGCAATTTTGGCAGCTAAATGTGTGATAGCATCAGGATGCCACCCGCTTCTAATTTTAAGCCAGCTCAGGTAAACTGCTTTTAAACGTGATGCGATAATCTCTATCATGTAACCCCTCAGGCTTCTCTTAACCATGTTGAACATACCCAATCCTTTTACTTCATGGTTGTACTTTATCACACCAGCCAGTACAGACTTCACAGTGGCCATGGAAGCTGGAACAAAATGTTATAAAAGACACAGGATTGCCACTAGAAACAACAGCCACATGTTGAGTTCTTTACTCTGTCTTTATCACATGTGGTAGTCTGAGGAATTTATCACATAAGCCCCGTTTTCACCACAATTGCTCTAATAAGGGAAATGGGATACATAGTGGCTTGGAAACACTCCCACTCATATCTTCACAATAGCGCAACTGGGGCCATGTGCTCTCTTCTGCACTCATCCCTGAGCCAGCAATTTAAAAAAAAACAACACAATTCCAGAATTAATACATTTTTTAAAAAAGTAAATAGAAAACTCTGTAGACCAGGGTTCGAATCCTGGTTTGGCCATGGAAACGTACTGGGTGACCTTGGGGGAGTCACACTTTCTCAGCCTCAGAGGATGGCAATGGCAACCCTCCTCTGAAGAAACATGTCAAGAAAACCCCATGACAGATTCATTGTCTGAGGGTTGTCATAAGTCAGAAACAACTTGAAGGCACACAACAACAACAACAACAACAATAACAAAAGAAAACAAAAGAAAGTGAAAAGGGGGGCTGTCTAAGAATAGTGAGGGAGAAGATAGACAGACAGGGAGGGAGGGAGGAGAAACTGACACTATATGAGTTCCCAAAACCAGAACTACCTTGCACTTATATACTTCAAACTTATATCACACTTGAGGACTAATGGGACAGCAGCACATTTGGGAGTTTATGATAAGATGCACTCTAACCAGATTTGGAGGACAAGGCAGTG